GCAGCGGCGGATCGGCACTGGGCCCGTCCAGGGCCCTCGCCTCCTCTCGGGCGGCTCCGCGCCCTGCGCCGGGCCCGGCCGCGGAGGCGCTGCAGCAGCAGGCTCCGCGCCAGCGGGAGGCCGCTCCGCCAGAGCGCGCGCCCTCTGCCGGCCCGCGCATCAGGTGGTGGCCGTCGCAGAGGGCGTCCAGGCTGGGTGCCGCTGTCGCCCAGCGCAGAGCTCCGCCGCCACCGCCGGAAGATGCTCCGCGGGGTGTGATGCCGCCCTGGAGGGCGTCACTGCCCTCAGGCCGTGGGCATCCAGGCAGCCCCCAATCTTCTGGACTGCCTGATGGCCCCCTGCGTGAGGGATGTGAGAGGGGTTCGTGGGGCCCTTCTTCTTCGGCCCCCGTCTGCCAAGCTCCACCGCTACCAGAGTGATCGCGAATGCCGCCCTGAGAAAAAACTCTGGACTCGGCGCCAAAGATGCAACCCGCCATATGTTGGTTCAGCAGCCGCTCGGGCACCCCAGCGAATACGTGGTCGGTGTAGGAGCCCATGCGCTGCCCCTCGTGCCAACATGTCGGGCCGGGCGGGACCATCTCAGCCGTGTCATCCGCAGCCTGTCCACACTGCCGCCGGTCCGGTCATGATGGCCGGCGATGTGCGCGGCCCAGGGAGGGGGCCAGGGACGTATTGCAGTAAGAAGAGTCGCCATGAAATCTGGGGAGATCTCATGGCCCCCGCCATGATATCCACCCCCCCTAGTCATCAGTCCCCCTCTTTGCCGCCCCCGAGGTAGAGGTCATCCTGCGCCCTGTCTGGGTCAGAACTGATGTCCCGCGAGATCTGCCTGATAGCCGTTCAGGTCAAATTCTTCACTTCCCAACAGATCAACACTGGCAAGTGGTCGACACTGACGGGTGGCTGCTGCTCGTATTGCGCAAGCCGCCGCGACAACAAGGTCGCGTTTGGGCGCACCGTGCTCAGGACCAGAATGGAACACTGCCGCAACGTCCTCTGGCGGAGGAAGAGGGAGGAGGAGCAGGAGGAGGGAGACGAGGAAGAGGCGGGAGCGGAGGACGCGCGGAAAGGGAGAGTGGAGGCGGCGGGGGGGGGGAAAGGGGGAGGGGGAGGGCTATCGGCAGTGGACAGACCTCCCTTTAGTAACCACCGTTTAATGAAAACGGCCTAGGACCGAAACCGACGGACCTGGACCCGCAAACATGACGGCAGCGACGCCCTCTCGCGAACCGAAAACGGCCAATTCGCTAATCGACGTGTCAGGGTAGGAGGTCGATCAACCTCTGAGGCTAAGGCGGGGAGGGGAGGGAGGAGAAGCAGCGGACGTATCCCCCAATCGGGACGTGCACTCCGCGAGACCGCAGCACCTGCCAAGGGCGGCGCAGGGCCCAGGCCCCCCTACGGGCGGAGGCCCGCCGACAGCAGCTCGAGGGGCACGGGGCAGACTTGCGCCGCCGACGCGGCAGAGCCTGGACCACTGCGGCGGCCTCGCGCCGGCTCCCGGGGCCCCCTGAGGAGGAGGAGGAGGAGGAGGAGGAGGAGGAGGAGGAGGAGGAGGCACGAGGAGGCGGAGGAGGAGGAGGAGGAGGAGGAGGGGCACGACAGCAAGTCGGGGGCCACGGGGCAAGCTTGCGCCGCCGCAGGGCCCCCCGAACCTGTGCCTCGCGGTGCGCGAGGCGTGAGGCACGACAGCAAGTCGAGGGCCACGGGGCAAGCTTGCGCCGCCGCGGCAGCGCCACGACCACCGCGGCGGCCTCGCGCCAGCTCCTGGGGCCCCCTGAGCCTGTGCCTCGCGGTGCGGCGCGGCGTGCGGCGCGGCCGCCTTCGCGCTCTCGAGCCGCCCTCTGGAGAAGAGCAGATCTCCGGGCCAGGCCGAGAAGCGCGAAGCGCGATCGTCTTCGCTCCCCCGGCGGGTGACCGCACCTCTCGGGCCCAGCCTCCCCAACGCCCGCGGGGGCGTCGGTCATGGAGGTGATGCTGCTGATGCCGCCTGCACTGCAACTGCCACTGTTCGGAACGTGACAAATTCTCACTGCACCGACCTTGCAGACGTGCTGCAGCGGATTGTTGCGTGGATTTCTGCCACTGCGAAACCCCGAAACGGCGCGTGAAAAACGAAGTGAATTTCACGTGGATGTTTTTGTTGTCTCCATTCTTGGGCCCAACAAATCCGCACGAAATTAACCTCAAAATCCAGAACGATATTCTCCAGGACACTCCGAGCCCATCCGATCGTTCTCCGAACGAAATCCGCTCTGCGATGTTGGCACCATGAAAATTCAAAACACTGAAGCCCTTTACAGTCACAGGCTCCTTCTTGCTACCGGCGCGACCCGCCTCATTGCGCTCCACTGCCCACGTCCCCCTAAGCGGGGAGATTTAAACCGAAACATTGGCGCGCCCGAGAAAACTGCAGCAGTAGATCGAAATATTTCTATTATTCGTTTCTCCTGGCTGAATGTTCAAAAGCTCTTTTAGCAATGTCCTGTTTGGAAGGGGGGGCCTAAGCTGCAGCCCCCACTTTTTAGCAATGCCCTGTGGGGGGGGGGGGGCTGAGCTGCAGCCCCCCTGCTGCCGCTGCTGCTGCTTGCTGCTTGCTGCTTGCTGCTTGCTGCTTGCTGCTTGCTGCTTGCTGCTGGCTGTTTGCTGTTTGCTGCTTGCTGCTGCTGCTGCTGCTGCTGCTGCTGCTGCTGCTGCTGCTGCTGCTGCTGCTTGCTGCTGCTGCTGCTGCTGCTGCTGCTGCTGCTGCTGCTGCTGCTGCTGCTGCTGCTGCTGCTGCTGCTGCTGCTGCTGCTGCTGCTGCTGCTCGCTGCTGCTCGCTGTTGTTCGCCTCATCCTCCGCCTTACCTCTCTCCCTATGGGGTCCGAAATTCGTGTTCGTGCAGGCGATCGCAGGTGCTCCAGGGCGGCGCACCAGCTCGAGGAGGCGCCTCTTGGCGGAGGTGGGCTTCGGGTGCCCGGTGAAGTGGGCCACCACGACCTTGTCGCTGCAGTGCTCGTCGCACACCCTTCCAGGGACCAGGGGAGGCCGAGTCCAGACGGAGTAAGTCCACGCGGAGACCGAGCACTCCGCACGGGCCTACACCGTATGGACTCAGCCTCCTATCAGGGGGGGCTGAGTCCAGACGGAGTACGCCCAGACGGAGGCCGAGCACTTCGCACAGACTTACTCCGTATGGACTTGGCCTCCTCCGAAGGGAGCAGGTGGGCCCGGGAGAAGCGAACGAGAACCTTCGCCAGGGCAAGCGCAGACAGGAGCACCCAGACGTGCACAGGACGCTCCCCGAAGGGTGCCCGCGCCTGCGGGGGCCCCTACTCTGGCTCCTCGAGAGACGTGCTGCGTGGTGCCGGGGATCCTGGAGCTCTGGGCGCCGCCACACGGGGTCCCCGCCACGGGGGTCCTCAGCTGCGCGCCTGCGCACAGGAAGGACACGTCGGGAGGCCCTCCCGCAGCCCGGCAGCACCGAGCCCGCCGCCAAGAGTGCTCCGTGCGCCGCCGGAGGGGTGTCCATGTCCACTGCCGCGGGGTCGTGTCTCCGTGACTCGGGCAGCGGTGGATGTGGATGCCTTCCCGCCCACGCGGGCGGGCAGACGTCCACATCCACCACTCCCACAGATCCCAGAGCCGGGGCTCCCAAGCGGTGGATGTGGACATATTCTGGCGGTGGACCTGGACTGAGAGAAAGCTGGTGCTGGTCATCTGGCACGGGATGGCTTGGAAGCGGAGGCGGTCAAGCATTGCCCCTGATGCGTGGTCGCTCTCACAGCGCCCCGGGCCTGCGTGCTGGGACTTCTCCGCCACAAAACCCTGGCCATCTCGCAGGGGAAAACCGGTCACCGCCGTAGGGTCCCAATCCATTGAGGGCATCGCCGCTGTTCCGTGTCAGCGAACAGGCATCGGAGAGCACAATAGCAGGTCGCGAGCTTCGTCGCTGCCAATACTCTGGAAGAAAAGCGCGTCGGTTTCACCTTAAACCCGTCAGATGAGAAAAGGTGGATAAATGTCGTTTGTGTTGCTTCCCCCCTCGGCCTTTGTTGGCCTGGCTGGATGCCCATCGTGTCCACACAGTTGAACTCTCGCGACACTTCCTGCACCTTGCCACTGTAGACACTGTTGATCAACTCCTAAAGAGGAGGAGAGGGAGGAGGAGGAGGAGAAGGAGGAGGAGGAGGAGGAGGAGGAGGAGGATCAGGAGGTGGCGGAGGAGGAGGAGGAGGAGGTGGGGCTCCTGGTCGAGGATCTTCTCTCTCTGGCGCACCTCCACTAGCTTGAGCATATTCGCGAACACGTCGAGGCTCGGCTTGTAAAACATTACTCCGCTGTTGAACCTCTCTCATCCCTCCTCGCTGGCCATCATGTCTCCCTTTTCCCTCCTGTTCCTTCTCCTGATCATCGTCCTCATCGTGCTCATCATTTTCCTCTTTTCCGTTGAACTCGTCTTTGCAGCCATCTTTCGCCATGGCGATGTGGTCGTCGGGCACATCATTTTTGATCAGCTCCAAGATCCTGCTGCTGAAAATGTATGTGTCCGAATCCAGGAAGAGCGCACGCTTGAATGGGAGCCGGAAGCAATTAATCTTTTCAAAACTATCGTGCCACCGCCCCAAGAACTCCTGGTCGCAGTCCTCTCCGCAAAAGTCCTTGTCCCAATTCGGCACAATCGACAATGACCAGCCAGCGTTTCTCAGAAGATTTTTGTTTACAGCTTTCATCGCAGTGATGGCCAGGGCCACCATGGGGTGACCTGGGAGGTACTTCTGGACAGACACGCCCAGCATGATCGCCCCGTCGATGTACTCAACGTTCTTCTTGCCTGCAAATGTGACGACCGCCGTCTGCTCCTCGGTGTTGTTCATGTTCTCGACAGTAAGGAAGTGCGACAGGTTCTGGATCCACCCAGGGGTCCTCGCGAGCATGATCCGGGTATTGACATCAGCCTCGGGATCCTCCGCGAGCGCCTTCTCGTCCGCGACCGCCTTCGCGTTCGGGACTGGGTC